GTAACTGCGAATTCTGCTAAATAATATCAGGTAATGGAATAATTTGTGTGCATGCATGCGTTTCTCAATTACTTGCATTATTTCTTACTTGATTCTCACTACTACTGTATGATTATGTTCATTACTGCAACAAACTTTCGATTAATTCTAGCCAAACCATTTGTTATTTTTGTTCACTGCTTTAATTATGCTATCCTTCTAAATGGGTGTAATGATGTACAATATCTGCGAAAATATAACATGAACTAATTATCAATTCCAGTGTACGATACGGCAAGTTCGGATGGTTTAACTTCGGAGTAAGTTGTTCTGTCCACAGAATTATCATTTCAATCAAATTTTAAAATACCCATCTTTTTTTGAAACTCTTCCTTTCAAAAGAAAAATGCTGTTCATTTTATGTTTTATAAACGTTTCAGACAAATGTCTGCATCTGAATCAAATGGTGGTTATGCAGTGGAAATAAGCACAAATAGTAAGATTTTGATTAAATTTTCTCATTTTCTGCTTCAATGCAGACTGTGGAAGTCAATTTTCGATCTCCTGATTTTCTCGACGTTCTGTTTGATTCTTGTCGGTTTTGCTAAATTCTTGAATCCATGTTTAAATTGCAGAACTTAATCGCACGGTAGACAATTTCATCCCAGTAACTACATCTACACCGCTTCTTCGCTTAAGATGTGTGAATGATTCGATTCGTGTACATGGAGATACGTATGATGGTATGGTTTATGCATTTATGTACAAACTTTGTTGGCAGTTGAGATTTCATTACCGTATGCCTAACTTATTTTCGTGACAAACTGTTCGTAATACAATTGTGAAAGTGATTCTACATTTTTACAAGTTTTCTAAATTTGCACTAATTTTTTTAATTCCAGATGCTAGATTCTGTCATTCAACACAGTCTCAAATCGCAGGAAAAGAGGAAATAATTGATGCACTGGACCACATTTCGGAAGTGTATTTTCGGTTATTTGTGTAATTTGCATATTACTAATTGTTTACGTAGAGCAAACGAAAAATATGATAAGAGCCAGTCAGTGTTGGTGGTTGTTCAGTGGACAAGACAGTACCATATCCTTGCTTGTTACACTTATCACAAAGACGGGTCTCCAAAACAGACTGTTCTGTGAAGTATTTCACAATAGGGAGAAATGAAATTATTTGAAGTACTGTAAAATAAAACCGAAAAATGATAAAAGAGAGGAAAAGAAACGAAGTCAGAACAAAAGAAAATTTTTGCTCCGTGATCACTGTCGACAATCCCGTAATGTCTTTTGCAGTTTTTCTCGATTTTTTCAGGAAACGATTCAGAATGAGAAACTGGATGTTCTGGAGGTAGAATCGATGGATATGAGTGATTCAAATAACCCTTCTCCAGTAATGTCTGATGCTACCAGAAAGTTGTTCGGGCAATCTACCGTCCTCCAAAATTTTGTGAAAATTTTCTACTTGCTTTTTGAAAGAAGCATCTATTTCCTATTCAGTTTATTTTTCTGATTTTTATAACACGCAATGGAAATATTAACTTAACTATGGAGAAGACCGATGAACTGAATATCGTGCCTTTCAGTGACTTGTCAAAGTGCTCCTTTTTTAGTTAATACTGTCGACTAGAAAAATAGAGGAGTGTCAGCTTTTACAGATGGCCAGTCCAAATCAGCAATCAAGCATGAATGATGAAACCTTGCCATCAAATGCAACACGACTGATTTTCAAAGCTGGCGAAAATAACAGACGTCAAAGTGGAACTACAAATGAGGAATTGAAAATGGATACTGAAAAATTATCTGTGATCCCTCCATATGTAGGCACTGCTGACATGGTGAGGGAACTGATTATTAACGAAATTTTTTCTGAGAGTAATTTGAGTCGACAGTAGGTAAAGACAGCTCGATCAATATCGTAATTAGGAATGCACCAAAGACGAACTGGGACAACTCCGCTACTTTGAATATGCCCATTCCTTATGAACTTTGTAAGTAAAGGAGAAAAATTCTGAAGAATTTCCAGGATATTTCTTCTGGCGATGGCAAAGTATTCGAGGTACCAATAGATGTTCCTTTCAAACAACTATCAGTTACATCCAACGTTGCCGATGAACCAACAGATATTTTATTCGAAAGTAATAGTGGTAATCTACCTAAAAAAAAAAACATTAAAAATGAAGCTTACGCTCAAGATGGGCCAAGTTTTGTACAAATTATTCATATCATATATTTTCATTATATTGCTACATTACATTTTATGTTAGTTCATAGTTTATGGTTAACTATCGACTGCCCAGCACCAGATAGATTAAATGAATAATTTGATAGCTAAATGTATAGAAGGGCTTTTTTTTAAACCCATATCCAGCAATTGTGACTAATTGACTTGTTTGATCCTATTGATTGAGTAAGGGTCAAGTTCGATGAAACAATTACTACTGATTGTTGAAATCTTTTTTTTTCCCAGTGGAAAACGATGCAAAAGCAATAAGTCATAAAGAGGATTTAAAAAACATCGCTATGATTGATGACGTTCAAATTTCGAACAACATTTCTTCAAGTATGGTATGTTTCTACTAATGTAAAGAAACGGTAATTTATATGCTTGTTCGCGAATTGTATAGCGTCTGTCGTGAACAAAGATCTCTTTAGGAATGTGTGGCTCAACAAGTCAATGTTGCATCTGATCTGACGGTGAAGTCTGTTCACAGTACGGATAAAGTTACACATTCTGCTGATGATATTACTCTTGAACTTTCTTCACAACTTGGTCGTCAGCATATAGTTAGTTTCATAAAGATTTGTTGGACCAGACAAATATATTTGAGGAAGAATTATAGACAAAGGACTTGAATTTGGTGTGATTTTATAAATCAATTTGACTACCATTATCGTTCATCAGGTAAAACTTGTGCCCCAAAATGTTTGAAAATGAAGAACTTCTTGAATATAAAAATCTCGTGATTTCAATATTAACGCAAACTATTTATGTTTCTTTTTCTTTTTTTTTTCAGTCCAATGAATTACTTTTATTGGTTCGCAAGACAACACTCGAATCACCTGCTGCTTTGCCTAAAAAGAAGATTCGTTTGTTCAGTCCAGAAGCTCTTCCACTGCGAACAAACGCATTACTCTTTGGGTCACCAAAATATGATGCTATGAAGGTTGTTTGGAGCCCCGTTGTTTGTTTAAATTTTTTTTTCTTTTGATTGAGCAATGAATGCAAATTATAACAAAATTGAAGAACTATTATTTTGTAAACAATTGTAGAGACATCATTACAATTATTTGCAGGATAAAGTAGATCCGATAAATATTCCTGAAAACACAACAAACATTGACAAGTCTACTGATAAGGTCATCACATATACTTATTAACTTATAATTAAGTTGCAGATGTTTAAATCAAGCCTGGAAAATATGTCATTTTATTATCCAAAATTAGTACTGCAAATAAATATGTAGGAAGTAATATATAGAAGATAATGAAGTTCGTGAAGTTGTTAAAATCTAGTGCTGATTTACTGTTTAATACATTTTACTTAAGGTTTTAAGTAAAATCAAACATCAACTGCGTCATAGCTTGAATCACTCTGGAGTATTCACTTTGTCGGAACTTTCTGCTGCTGGTACTGATAATGTCGGCATGTTGTACGATATTCCCATGCCAGAATCATTATTTCACTCGGATGAACTCAACAGTCAAGGTGAATACTCATGCAAAAAATTGTGTTTTCAATTAGAACGACAGATTTGTCGGAAATAACATGGAAATTTTGCTTATTAGTAGGAGCTGATATTTTACATCAAAATGCACTATAAATTAAAGATATTTCTGTTTGCTAAGTAACAAAACATACTTTATGGTTATATTATGAAATAAATGGTAATAGGTGCAATAGTCCGATGCTTCATCTGTTCAATATGACTTAATGGAATTTAGTTTCAACAGCGGAATCATTCAGTAACGAACTACATACAACTGTTGAGCAGTCCTGTATTGAATCATCATCGTTGTCTTCGCGTCGGTCCGAAATTGTCACAGCAGCTTTGGGGAATGAGTCAAGCTTCCTTACGAGTCATGTTGATACTGTGGGATTTAATATCAATTTTCGAACAATACCGTGTTTTCGAATTAAGCCAAATGAACAACCACAAATTATGGAACTCAAACAGTTGGCAACCACAAATTTGCGCAAACGTATTGCTGAAGTTATCGATAGGTTTAACTTTTTTGTCTTTTATAATTTCTATTTCTTTTATTGATGGTTTCGTTGTTAAGTCTATTCTAACACAACGTGAGGAAATTTAATTCTTGAAAGCTACTTCGGTTAGTGCGGACAGGTTATTGCCGATTATTTTTCTGTAAGAGAAAAGGAGTGGATTCGAATGACTTAAACATGAAATAAAATAACGAATAACTAATAACTTGGTTTTATTTTCAAAGGATTTGGAAATTTATATTCAACTTAGGAATTGTTTAGCTCTTGTTTCAGATGTAAAGGTCTAATTAGTGCACAACTTCCAAATTGCAGCAATCGAAAGATCGCTGAATGTATAAGAACGCTAAATCCTAGAAAAGTTTGTCACATTCATTGTTATCGCGCAATTTTCAGCTTACAGCAAATGTTGTTGAGGCATTAAAAATTGTTTGATAAAGGAATATTTTAGATGTTGCACTTGGCTCCTTTTTGAGTTTCCTATCCTTTATTTTAATTCACTGTTATTGTCATGGTGTCATGCCAGAAATCACCTTCAAATCTTAGTGAAATTTAGCTATCAAAAAAAGAAGCTAGCTGGTTTGATGTATGTTACCTGATGGCGCAACGTGAATGGTTTGTACTAAGAGCTAAATTGGCCAAACTGACGAGTGAGAAGTTAGATGTAAGTTTACCATTATTCTCCAATCCATTCCTTCCAGGTATAAAAAGTATACCATTACTCTGCTACCAAGCGAATGTTCGTTGAACTTAAGAGTAACATACTACCTTTTTCAAATTTTGACGAGCTTTTTTTCTCATGTAGATCATATTCCTGACAACTATTTGACTTCATAACTTCTTTAAGCGCTAGATTTGCATTGCTGGTTCTTCTTTTGACTATTTTTTTTAGAAAAATTGGCACTAATGGATATACTAAACAGCATATTTGTCAAATTAGGTCTAATATTTTGACACATATCATTCTTTATAAAGTGATGGCCTGCACTGCTGTAATGACAGGCAAAGGAATGCATTAGTAATGCACTGGAGAAGCCAGAAGAACTGACTTACTTTTTTTTTGCTTGTTTACTTGAAATGAATTACTCGTCGCATTGCAGGAACTGCTGCTTGAGACGAAAGCTGAGTCAGACCAGAAAAGGCGATTAGCAGAATCGATGAGGGATTATGAAAAAAATCGTGACGGTATGGATTATTTGCCACCTAAGATCCTTGATTTACAGTACCAGATGCTATTTGCTTTCCCAAATTGTTCATATTCTGTCATATTTTAAAAGAGAATTTTATTTCGATACACAATATGTGTAATTTTCTGCAGAAGTAATGGAGCGTTATGCTCAATTGAAATCACTGGATGAAGCTGTGGATGGTGAGTTGCAAAATGAAATGGAACTTGACGAGTTGAGACATGCGAGACGCGTTGGGCGTCTGGAAGTTGCACAGAAGGAATTGGAACTTATGAAGAAACAAGGCACAGTAAGTTTGTGATTTTAATAAAGTAAGCTAAATCAAAATTTCCTTCCGCTTTTCGAAAAGATGAAGGGTATCTTTGCTGCATGAGGTACCTTTGGCCCTTTATCAGCGGCGAATTTTTTTTCTCTCTTTTTTCCTTTTCAGTTTTCCCTAAGCAGTTTTCTGTTTTTTTTTATTTGAGTGATATTTTGTTCCATGTAACTGCATAATTTAAATTTTTGAGGGACTTAGAATATTCTCTTACCTATTGTTTCAGCGACTAGAAGTACTGTTAAAGGAGTATGGTAAAACGAAATCTGCAATGGGAGCACAGATGGCAAAGAAAGCTGCACAGCGAGCAGAATTTTTGCAAAATTATGACGAAGATGTGGCTGAATATCGAGAATTTTTAGCTGACAAAGAATAAAAAGATTGAATTTTCTAAGATCCACCACTCTTATTTATTTGCTTTATGATCTCGGTTGGTTTTTTATCTGCTGTATTTATTACTAATCTTGATTTTCTGATCATAGATTCATCCCTATTATTATCCATACTTAACACTTGTTTTAATTCTTTATCGCAAGATATCTGATAAACTGGAGGAAGTATGTCACTTATTTTGTCTTCATACTCTAAATATTTAATTATCTAGCATCGAAATTCTTTACATCCATGGCCGTATTTGAAGTTGTAGTTGTGTGTTCTGGAGCATCATACATTTAAGATTGTTGGAAAATGTAAACAGCGGAATAGGAGATGTAAAAAGAAACGTTTTTTGCTAGCCTATCAAAGATCCGTGAGGTTAGATTTACTTTATCTTCATCGATGAAGACATAATGATGAAATGTATGAATCAGAGTTACTCTCAAAAGATTGTTGAATCAAGTGGAGGGAATTATTTATTCAAATGTATCATGCATCAAGTACTTTTTTATGTGACGTATTTTTCTTAGCTTGTAAACTGTATACGAAGAAAATACACGGTAATGCCCATGTTAAATTAAACATAGGCAGAAATTTGTTGTAACCGGAAACTAAATACGGTAATTTAAGATGGATTTCACATAAGCAAGTCAAGAACTGATTTGAAACAAATGTCTCGGTTTCAATGTCAAATTTATATAAATGACTGGGAAGGAAAAGAGGAGAATTGTCACAGTTTGGAATATATCCATTAGCCGATTTAGACGGTCGTTACACAGATATCTCCGCATATTACGACACATTGATTGACCTATTCGTATTGTAACAAAAATCATTATAGCATGCGCGATCTCCCGGGCACAAACCATTGATGCATGGGCCAAAACTTTCTCCTGAAAAAGTTGAACCAGAATTTCTACAATTGATGTTGATTAGAAAAAGAAACAGGCACTTCATTCAATGAATCTTTCCTGCTGGCATTGATTTACTGAAACGGATTCGCTTTCCGCTGGTGTTTAGCTTTGATATTTTTTTCATACCACAGTGATCTTTTGTAATGGCTTCACTTGCAAGTCGTGAGAATTCTATATTACTATTTGTTGTGAAATTATGAACTTGTTAACAATTGAATACGAAATAATTGGGTCTTTTCTCTACATTTGCTGATAATTATAAAAGAAGTTCAACCTTTCTTTAGGTTTTTAATGAAAGTTTGATTTTTGACGCACTCGTCACTTATGCATTTATAACCAGTAGGACAGAGTTTGTTCACACATGGGCCTATTTTCTGCGACTTTTCTGATTTTAAATCTAAATAATATGACAATTAATTTGCGAATGGTAATTATCGCAAAGTAAATTGGGTCATGCTTAAGCGTTTTAACATTAAAACAGTTTAGTCTTTCTAACAATACAAGGTTTTGGTTAGAAATGGCAAAAAACAATTGTGGATGTTAAAGGTGTAGAAGATGATTAAATTGATTTACCACTGAAAGCCAGGTATAATATGGTAAGTACAAGGTTCACTTTAATGATTTCTATCACTGTTTATCATTAGCATTACTTCTCTCGGTATTTCTACTCTTTCAAAAATATTGCGCTGAAAGCAATGCTTCTGTTTTTATTGCTTTAAAGACTGAAATCAATAGATTACTGTTTGAGGAGAAATTCTTTGTGAATTTTTAATCGATAATAGTGCCTTACTAGTTGTTAAACACTAAGTATCCACTGAGTTCTAAGAAAAAGATGGTTTTATGTGGACGAAGAAAATCATCAAAAGACTAAATTTTGGAAATGAGATGAATATTCAAATAAACGACGATAAAAGAAGTATTCTTATATTTTCGTGTTTTAATGGTAATCTTAAAAACTGTGGTACCTGTCGGGAGTGCTGAAGTAATAAAAATTATTGAAATTATCACAAAAATCATGGTATTTTTGCTGGCTGACATCAGATAATACTGTAAATGGCTCCTTGGAACTAAACTGATCGTAGGAATACAGTGGAGAAAGGGTTTTGTGCCGCTGTTGATCTCTAATAGTGTTGAGAGTGAGAAACCGAACGAAAAGATAGGATCAGTTAAATTGGCAGTGGGTGGCAAGGATGACGACGGTGCAATTTATTTGATATAGTGTTGGGTAAGATGGTTTTTCTTGTTTACTTTGATAATTGAAATACTCTCAGAATGGAGATGTAGAGAGAAGCAAACTGCTGCTCCTATCAACTATCCGATTTAATTTGTAGCTGGAAAGCGCTAACTGCTAAATAAATACAAATTTTCTTTGTAAAGCACAAAAGATACAGAGAGAAGTTGATACGATCAAAAAGCGTCATTACAAAATCTTACAATTCCACTCAATTTTACGAATGCAAATTTAAGTCAGAATAAATTGATTTCTTTTTCTTTGAAACTTGAAGTGGTGCAATAATCCATTTTTAATAGTTTTCAGCAGTTCATTTTAAAAAATACATATTTTTTTGGGTTTAAGTTTGTTGTTTTTCAAATATTTGTGACAACTTTACAGCGAAAAATTTTTCAGTTGATGGCTATGCATAGAGGCGGGAAGATACATACATATTTCGATTATATAAAAGTCACAAAACAGAAATTACAAAATTAGCCAAGTTATTACTCCAAGAAAATTACAAAACTAACCATCTGTCTTCTTTCAGATTTCAAGAAAAAAACATGTGATCCTTTTAATCAATGCTTGCTAAGAGGGAAATTAGCAAGATTAAAGAAACATATTGGATGTCTGCAAGTTTTGTCTATCTTGGCACTGAGGGAAACTGAACACTAACCAAAAATAAAGGATGGTCAATAAAAGAAATGAATCCACACAGTATTCCACGAAGGATGCAATAGGCCAGTAATTTCTTCACTGTTATTCGAACAAGTGAGTACGAAGAAAATAATTGAAATTGTCGGAAATATTATAACACTTTACTATATAAACAGAGACAGTCTATTAGCAGTCTCAGTTCCAATGAAACTCAAGAAAATGTGAAGTATAAATAAGAAAAAAACAATTCAGAATGTTGAGGAATGAAATTTTTGCAAGAAATGAATGAGATATTGCGGACAAGAATTGGGACATATGTTGTGGGACATTTTCCATTCAGAAAGCAAAGTGCTGGATTACTCCATCAAGTAACACCTATTGTCCCTGTCATAGCATATGGAATCGCTTGGACATAAGCCTCGAAGACACGGACCAATGCTTTTACCTAAAGGAACAAGAGCGATGAGATTTTCCACAGTGATTATTAATTAAACTCCTTCTAAGACAAATTATATGTGGCTGAAAAACACAATTCAAGCAAAACATTTGCTGACAAAAACAAATTTCCCGCCCTGTTTTCAAAGATAAACAGTAATCTATTAAAAAATCAACCTTTAATCTTTTGGCGCCTTTCCTCAACACACTTTATTTTTTTGCATTTATAGCCTGCAGTGCAGAAATTAAATGGACCTAAACAAAAGCCCGGCTTTACTGGTTCTTTTACCTTCGATCCTGAAACAGTACTTTTCTTCACCTGATTTTTCATTGTATTTTATTTAAAACATCTTCAAAATAATCTACAAAAAACAGAAACTTAGCCCCGTCCAGAGGAATGCAAGGGTCAGCATGATTAACATGAAAATCTTGGAATTTTTAAGACAGTCACAAATTTCCAACCTGAAATCTTTTAGTTTGTAATTCCCTAAATTTCCAGCCACAAAATCGAGAAAGTGATTCTTTTATTAGATGGTTCCTTTATTGTTCTCATGAAATTATCAGAAAGTACGACAATGAGGCACGCCGAGGAAAGTTATTCTAAACATTCCTGCTCTCGATAAGCCTTCTTCACCGAACCTGTCACCTCTGCTAATACTCTCACAAAGAACAATAAAAGTTCCCTTATGAGACTGCAGAAAACTACAGAATCACGGGAAAATTAAGCATATATAAGTTATTCATACACTCTCATATACCAGTGAAAATTGAACCTCGTGGAAATGCATTTCCGGAAACCGTTGAAATAGCTAACATTGTAATCATTATCATGATTTTCGTGGCGGTGCTGAACATTGTTGAGCGAACAATGGAGTCACTGAGCAGTATGATTGAGGGAAGGATGTCGGAGGCGGTGTTCAGTTGGAATTGTTCACTCTGTATGGTTCATTTATGCGAAGAAGTGATCATAAAGTATTTAGGGAAGAAATCGAGGAAGTAGCGAACGAAGAAGTACGAAGGATGGAAAAGGAGAGAAAAAAATCTGCATAAGATGATATAGTTTGATGTAAGGGACGGTCATGCATCAAAGGTTAAAATACATGATGATCAGAACAATGAACAACATGAAAAAGTCACTACAAATTTTGAAGGAGAAAGTAATATAACTATCAGATCATATCACAATAAGATAACGATTTCGAAATGGTTTCGGAACTTCTTTTCATTATGGATTAATAATCGAAGTTAGAATATTAAACTTTTTCTCATTTTAACTGGAAATCTTCCACCTCAACTATTTCTACCGCATTATTAATAAATGAAAACAGATCATGAATTACCCTAAAAAATGGCAGCACGTATTGATCCGTTTGTTTACAGAGATGTGAATACACATGTGGTGTACAAATATCCTCCTGCTATACTTAGATATCCTTGTGTCACAATTTCCAATTCAATATTACATAGAAAATCATATCCTTAAATATTAGTCGCAGAATCTTTCTCTCAATCGCAGCAACATTTTTTCCAATCCGGTTGTTCGTTATGCTACTATGATTTCAGGAAATTTTCTGATACTATTTTATTACCAATAACCAATTGTTAACGATTTTTCAAACATATAAAAGCTAACGAAGCGATAAAATCGAATAAAATGAAATTTGGCTTGACTGATTACAAATTTTAAGCAAATAAAATTAATAAAAGATTTGAAGAAAAGTTAGACGGTTGATTTAAATAAAGCAGTATGCAGCATCATGCATTATTATTGTTCAGCATTGCTCTCATACGAAGCGGGTGATCCAATTGATCGCTAAGTATTGTGATAAGGCGACACAAACGGTCCAGAAACTTGACAACGACTAAAAAATGGGCGATTTTGTACTAAAGCTTGACCCTAGCGAACGAATTACCTACGTCGGGAAGAAGCTCGGAGAAGAACCCTGTCCGACAACCCTAAAAATTACGAATCCCACTTCGGTCCGTATAGTTTTCCTTCCATTCTCTTTCAAGTTCTTGGTTGGAAAGAACATCTAGACGAGTTTCAGGATCGACAGGCGTGCAAAGTGAAATGCACCTCAAATGAAATGTTCCGTATCCGTCCTCCCGTCTTTGCACTGAAGCCTGGTGAAGAGACTGTCGTCAAGGTTGGCGGAAAAATCTTAATAATGAAATTCCATTTCCAGTTAAATTTCTGAAAATTTTGGAATCTTCAGCGAAACTTAATGGATCATCTTTGCAATGGAAAATACTACAAACATAGCTTTCCAGTTAACTTTCAATGCGGGAAAAACAGTACCCGACAGTGGGAAGCATTACTTTGCTGTATATTATATAAAGGCGACCGACGAAAATAAGGCACCAAGGGCGTGCTGGTCAGACCACAAAGGAGATCCAAATGGAACAAAAAGGTGAAATGAACCTAGGTTTTATCATAAAATTATGATAATAATAATTATGATAATAATCACAATAATAATAATTAATAATAATAATTAATAGCAATAATTAATAATAATAATAATAATTAATAAAAAATAATAATAATAATTAATAAAAAATAACAATAATAATTAATAAAAAATAATAATAATAATTAATAAAGAATAATAGTAATAATTAATAAAAAATAATAATAATAATTAATAAAAAATAATAATAATAATTAATAA